TGCATGGGAGAGAGAAAGGAGGCAGCAGCCGTCCTCTGAGCCCCACAGGGAGCAGGATAAAGAGTAGGGTACTGAGGTGTGTCAGGTGGGGACTAGGGGGCTGGAGAGTGCATTTCTGGCTCTGTGTCAGGTGGGGACTAGGGGGCTGGAGAGTGCATTTCTGGCTCTGATGCTCAGCAGAGCCTCCGTTCCTCATCTCTACAATGCTGGTGGCAATTCCCTCTCATGGGGTTGCCATGAGGAAATGAAACTGCATATAAAGCAAGTCCCTGTGACATAGTACAGGCTCAATGAATGGCACTTATTATTCCAATCAAATTATCCAAGACTCATTAGAATGACCTTGCTCACCTTCCTCACACCGCGATGATGAATCTTGGTTAAAAATGACACTTCTATAAAAGGTACCTTGTACTCCTCTCTTCCTTCTTAACATCCACTTACTCTTCCCCTCACTCAGCCTACTCATTATGCCTCTGAGAGCACTGTCTATGCCACCACCTGCAATCGACCCCTGACAGACTTCCTGGTACCTTTCTTGCCCCCACTCCACCCAGTTGCCACACATTAGCAGTGACCTTTTGGAATTGAAAGCTGGGTCCTTGCACTACCATGCCTAAAACTCTCCAGTGGTTTTCCATCTCACTTAGAATAAAATCCTTGCCATAATCTACATGTGCCTAGAGGAACGGGCCCCTGGCCACTGTCCAGCTCCATCTGCAACCGGTTTTTCCCCCCCACTCACTCTGCCCTTGCCCCACTGCCTTCCTTTTTCCTTAAACTAACTCAGGACCTTTGCATGTGCTATTCCTGGGAATTCACTCCCCCCCTGTTATGAGCTGAATTGCGTCGTCCTAAAATGCACATGTTGAAGTCCTACCTCCAGTACTTCGGAATGTGTCTGTATTTGGAGACAGAACCTTTTTTTTTTTTTTTTTTTTGGCGACCCTGTTGCTCAGAGCTCGCACTCTTTTTTTATTTTAAGATTTTTTTTATTGGGAAATTGGGGGGATGGGAACAGAGCTGGGGAATTGGGGGAAGGAGAACAGACAAGTTGCTGTCGTTTTGTTCTTCAGTCTAGTTGTGGAGGAACATTGCCTCACTGGCCCAAGTTGGCACAATCATTGCCCTCTTCCCGGGCGAGGCACATCAGTCGCCAGCTTCTGGACAGCTGCTCATGGCAGCTGCTGGCCACTCACACTGGCTGCTGGCTACACACAGTAGCCCATGGCAACCCACTGCCACAGGGGCTGCAGCCTATGCCATCGCCGGTGACTCACGGCAG